TCTTGTCCACTTTAATTTCCACAATATACCATCTTTATAGGGTATATCTATAAAATAATTTTTAAAATGCCGGTAAATTCAGAAGTGGAAAATGCTAAGCGAAATCCCGACTCTTTTCTAGCCAATCAGTGTTTTTCAGCTGCTTTTGCTTCTATAACAAACCATGTCTCATTTCCTTTTATAATGCGCAATATATTTTAATTGATTTTCAGTATCCTCCTCCGACCTATACTGTTCTGTATGCGGGCTCGTTCATTGTATCTAATGGAAGGGCTCGCACTGCACTGGTGCAAGGGGCATACCAGATCGCTGCTTTTGCAATAACACTCGCCATCTCGATCTGTGGAGGAGCTGTGACAGGTAACTTTAGACGGTGACTGACATTCGATACGAGTTTCTGGACAATAGTGGATTAGAGTATATGGTCAAGAAATATAATATACCCCAATTCATCCCAGCAACAGGGAAATAGTTAACTTGAAATAAACGAGTAATAAAGAAATTCAAATTTAAAAGGTAAAAATGCCCATACCGTCGCTAGATAAGCGGTAGATAAGCTCCCTCTTCCACGTCTGCCAGTCTCATGCAAGCAAAATTTTGTACAAGTCTTATTTGTATATTGGGCCTCATGGCGCGGTGCCGAAGTGGGACGCGAGTGAGACTAGCCCCAAACAGATCGGCTTTCTGATTTTGATATGTCTTCTTCTAAGCGTAAACTAAGAGCAGCGGCCATCGAAACGAACAGATTGCCGAATAGAGTGAATATAAAGTAGGGGGGGCGCTTGATTAATTGAACGCATCCCCACTTTTTCCCACTACCAAGATAGGTTTCGTCACACCACGGTCGTAGTCATCGCCCAGTACTCTCATCACACAAATAATCGTGAATACTTCTCGCTCCTTGCAACAAAGGCATTTCGAAGAGAAAATATATTTTAAACCCTTTTGCTCCTGTACGATCAGCATCCAGGCCACAACTCATAAGGAATCTATGCAATGTCATTTTGATGCGACTTAGACCTTGTAAATCCCATTTAAGATTCCTTTTAAGAGCACAAATTAGCGGCTTCAAGCAGCATTGAAGACAGGGTTGAACGTGCTCATTTGTAGGCGTGCGTACGTATGCATACATTTTCTACGAGGGGAGCTGATGTGGCATTTGAAACCGGAAATATTTGTTTGACCCTGTTTTCACAACTTAGTCATATCAACAGGAAGACCTAGTCCGGAGTACATAGTATGCATGCTAATTTCCAGAGTTGGAACGTGGACGTGGTACATTCCTAGACGTTTTGCCGGTATCGTAGTCGGCATCGTCTGTCAGCCTTGTCATTCTTAGCACCACACTGCGACTGGTCAAAGAGACAAGTAAAGTCGATCCTTGGACCAAATGTGTGCTAAACAGTTGTGGTAGCTCACTTTCCGTCCTGTACTATCACCTATCCTATATCCCCGTACCACCCGTTCGATATCACAACTTCATAATTGCTTAGTTAAATGTGGCATTGTGTGCCATTTTGAGCAGATTTCATGAGACCTCTTCACACCCTACCCGTCTACAATTGTGCTGGGAACACTGAATGCGGAATAATCTGGCAGATTTAGGTCAACTTTACTCTCAGTCTTCCTGCCAATATGACCAAGTTGCTAAAACAGGGTAAAACAACTTGAATCCAACGCAAGGAGACCACAACCCTACAAAAGTCCACACCATCTTAGCCTTCATACCTTCGACTGAACTATTTGCTTTGTGGAACAATCGCGATTATGTGCCCCCACATAAACTTTACTATTTCTTTAGTATAATCTAGGAAAGACATCACATATGCGCACATTCAAAAAGAAGTTTCGAAATTACCACTAGTTCTTGAATGGCAGGTGTAGACGCAGACTACAGTTTTATTCAAGATATATTTGTAGTTGCGAAATCTCCATCTGAATATATGCATATGTGATGTGTCTCCCATTTCATGGAATGTGCATAGTCGTGATTATTCCAGAAAACAAATAGTTAAGATCGAAAATGTCCTGATACACTGATATTGTAGGGAGCCTACTCTTATGATTATAAGTAGGATAGTCACTTTCGTTAGAAAACACAAATGTGCGAAGACGGGTGAAAGGGATTCGTAGATTGGCCCCACCGGATACCGAAGGAGGGTCGCCTTGGACTTTGTTTGTTGAATTGCGTGAAGAAGACCTCGGCTCACCGTCATACGACCCCGATGACTCAGTGCTGAGCTTTCGTCCGTTCTGTGACGGACACCGTCAGAGCCAGAAACCATTATTCACGAACAATCACAAAGCAACCCAACTTAAGAAAGGTGGTATATTGAGAACCTAGTTACTGCTTATACCTCCCTTTGCGATCTTACTGAGACATTCCATGATTTGGTTGGCTTTTTTATGATTCGCCTACATGCAAGGAAGTGGGTCAAAGTGGTGCAGGAAGGGGAGGGATGTGGTCACAGCAATTGTCTATACAAATAAATTAGAGTATGATTCTGTTATCCTGGGCCTTGTTAGAGCTTAGTGGATGCGTGTTCGTGTGTGCATTCAACAACGGCGAGTTGGCTGGCAATTTTATATCCAAAAACAGACCGCAACTTGCTCAAGTCTTCTCCTCTCACCTAGCGGCTCTTCCTGTTCCCTCACAAGTTTGCTGTATTGACAATCCCACTATAGAGTTGGGAGGCTAGCCTAAAATAAAATTCATGCCCATGGTAGTATATCGAAAATGACCCCTGAACCACCCGGGTTCGATTCCCTCTGGGGATGCTGATGAAACCCGGGCGGGGTCGAAACTGCAATCAAGCCCGGAGGAAGAGATCTGTCGGTGAAATGCAATGTCCTCGTGGGACCCATTTGTATGAGTGAGGAAAAGTTCAACTGTCACTTCTTTGTCATTTCAAGCTTTTTCTAAACGTCTGTGCGTCTTCTATTACTGACAGGCCTGGTAATCCGATTCATGCCGGGTCTGAATGGCCGAACCGAGGTCAATTACTATGATGATACCCCATACTGGCTGCTCCCTGACGAGTCGGAGAGCTCCTTTCTGTCTCCGATGTATACGAAACCGAACCCCACTCAGACGGACAAGCAACAACGCCTTGCATGGCCTCCTAAGGGTTCCACGACAAACAAGTCGGTGGACGAGTTGTCTGGGGAGTCTGAGACGAGGGTGTGAAACAATTTTAACAACCTCCCGCATCGTGAGTGACCTTCTGCTTACATGCCTCCAACAGTTTTAGACCCTGAGTCAACTACTCAACGGGACACCTTCGATATTGGGTAATCTCTTCCCGTTTCACGGCTGAGCACTGACGATGAGCATTTCCTTCGATCACACCCCTCGCTCCAGATCTGTATTTCTCCCAACCACAAACTTTGGCGCTCACATTCACTTTCAAACCAGCTCTCGGGCCCTACTTCCCTTTCACTGTCAACCCAATATATGCCTCAATTTTTTCATATCATTTGGACACGGCTACCTTCCTGACCAGTTAGCTAAGAAGTAAATAAAGTTTTATTCGAGGCGAACGGATGCGTCATCATAAATAAACTATTGCCAATTTTCAACGAAGACCTCATCCGTACAAAAAGAAAAAATGATATGTTACTTTAATTAGTATAGATACTTTATTTTTATTGGAGCGACATATTTTTTGTAATTTTACCCAGCTTCATTCGACAATTCTCAATCAACTTAAAGTAAGATATAAAAATTAAGGAG